CTCCAAATCCTCCATCCACAAATGATTCTCAGAATAATCTTCCAGCACGGAGAGGATGGGCGGGGAGGGGGCAGTACGGGGAGCCTTCTTACGCCTTCCGCACCGAGCACGAAGAGCAGAGTTATCAGACAAAGGTCTGGCTCGAGTTCGCCTTTCCCAACGCGGAGGAGGGAACGCGACCGCTCCATCGGTGGCTCTCAGCGCGTGAGCAGGCTGTCGAGCGATCCCTTTCAGAAGAGGAAAAGGATTATTTTGTGTATTTACTCGTCGCCTGCGAAGACTATACGACGGCGGCGATTAAATTTCCCGCAAGGGCAACACGAACGCAGGAAGGAGACCCGCGCGGGGCCGAGGCGTACTCTTGCAATTGGGACCCCCTACAAAAGACATATTCACTTTTTTTTATCATGAGTCGATAGGGAAGGGCCGTAGGCTTTTTTCCTCCTCCCTTTCTTTTTATTGCCATTTTTTTGTGTTTGCGTGGGTGCGAATGTCCTACTTGGGTAGGATGGATATCATTCTGAACGATGAAAAACAAGTAGTTTTTCGCTGATGCGGAAACGAAAGGGATGGGATGGAGGAGCGAGATACTGGTGAATATCTCTTGAAAAAAACCGCTTACAGGGACGCTTGTTCATCTCAGCGCCCTGCTAGCGTAAGTTTATCAACGCACATTGGTTTGCATGATTTACCATTAAACATTTTTTTTGGGAATACCAACCACGACGAATGGAATGGAAGGGTGCTTCAATTCTCTTTCCATTTCGTGATCTAACGGCAAAAATTGTGACACGTACCTATATATCTATCCATACCTATCTATATGTATATCCAAACCTATATATGCACATACTAGTACTTTTCGAGACGAGTGGATCTAGGGGCACCCCACTCATACTCTACATTGCACACTTTATTCTTTTGTTGTGTCTTTGATCGATTTCGAACGCGAGCATGGCGGCGCCGGGTTTGCCCGCCTCCCTGGACTTCCCCCGCATCAAAATCATGACCCTGGGCGATAGCGGGGTGGGGAAGAGCTGCCTGATCAAGCGCTATTGCGAGGGGCGTTTTATCCCCAAATACATTCCTACCATCGGGATCGACTACGGGGTGAAGCTCGTGACGGTAAACCCCGTGAAGCTTGAGGAGGAGCGCGCGAAGGGCCCTAAAGGGGCCGCGGAGGGCTCAAATTCATCGGCCGCGTGGACCGCTCGCGCGCCGACAGCGGTGCGGGTGAACTTCTGGGACGTCGCCGGGGGGGCGGAGTCGCTGGAGATCCGAAATGAATTCTACGCGCCGACCCAGGGGATTTTGCTCATCTACAACGTCGGAGATTTAAAGAGCTTCGAGTCCTTGGATAGGTGGGTGGAGGAGATGAATCGATTTATCAGCATCCCGCTTGACTCGGGCGGGGCGGAAAGGCGGACCTCGGTGGAGGGTATGATGGCGACGGGGAATACCCCTGCCGGGCGCGAGGTCGGGGCGGTTTCTGATCAATCGCCGGTGGTTTTTTTATGCGGGAATAAAGCGGACGGGGGGACGCAGCGGGCGGTGACGGAGGAGCAGGGCCGACGATGGGCCGCAGCGCATGGCGGGATGGAGTTCTTCGAGACTAGCGCGAGCAGCGATTTGAACGTCGCGACGATGATGGAGCGGCTCTTTCACCGCGTGATCGCGCGTTTTATGTCACCCAAATAGAACGGGCAGCTTTGTCTGAGGGAAAAAAAAGAGAAATAAAACACTCAAATAAAAGGAGATTAAAAGGAAAATTTATAAAAAAAAAGCAGAGGATTTTTGAGGGGCTATGATAAAATCCGTTAAGAGGGATGTTGAGGCTAACGATTCAGATTCCAGCAGCAAAAATGGCATGATAATTCTGATTAAATTCTCACAAAAAAATCAATAGAATATAAGGAGTGATATGAAGGATCCAAAAAGACCATTTTTTGATACCAAGTATCGTGAAGAGAAGTAAATCCAACAATTTCGGATTTTACTGATGCTTAACAAGAACGCTTGGCTTTTTATTATTATTTGTAGATTTCCACTTTTTATGGAAAAATACTGTACTTTGTCTTCCCTATTCTACTTCCTTCGTTTCTTTTCAGTAGTACAGTTTTATGGGATAGGTTTCTCCTTTTTTCTGAAGTCGTCATTTTGGTTTAGTTATGAGGCGACTTTTATTATCGTTCTCTACGCAGACTTTTTTTCGGAAAGGAAGAGCTACGAATGCCGTTCGCGGGATTATCGTCCCACGTCAGCTGAAGGCGTACGCGGGAACCTTCAGCAGCTCCATCGGCGAGCGCTCCGATCATCTCGCCGGGCATCTTGTTTTGCAAAGCCTTTCCTCCAGTCGTATGCAAAATTCTCCCCTTACCAATAAGGTAAAAACCAAAATGGTTGATAACTTCGTGGACATGCTGCTAGCCCCGGAGCTGCAGAAGGCGCTTGATAAAATGCAAATTACTACTCCTTCGCCGATTCAACAGAGCGGGATTGAATGCATTTTACAGCATAAAAACACCCTCCTTGCCGCTCCGCACGGGGAGGGGAAGACGCTCGCGTTTTTACTTCCGCTTTATCAAAATATGATGAAAGATCGGGACGTTTATAAAATACCCCTGCGTGAACGTCGGCCGCGAATGTTTTTGCTAGCGCCGACGAGAGAGCTTATTGAGCAACTTCACGGTGTCTGCAAGACGCTCGACGAGATGACGGGGTTGACGTCGGCCGCGTTTACCTCTCGGAAACGCGCGAAATATCACCTTTCGCGTCTTCTGAAGGATACGATGCCGGATGTGTTAATTATCGATCCAAAGGTGATTCTCCGCCTGATTCGAACGCGGCGAATCTTTTTGGACGATCTACGCTACGTCGCTGTGGACGAGGCCGATGCGATGCTGTCCTCCCTGCATGACCATGACGCCGTGGTGCTTTTGATGAAAATTCAAAAGCGCGTGATGTATAAACACCTATGGCCCGTGCAAACCCAATTCGTCTTTGCCAGTCCCTACCTCACGCGTAAACTCGAGCACGTGATTGGGAAGAAATTCCCCGAGACGATCCCGTGTATGTTTCGCCAGGAAATGCATCGCCCCCCGCGGACGCTACGCCATCGCTTTCATCCTGTTTCGCAAGAATCCGATAAATTGAGTCTTTTGCTGTATTTATTGCAGAAATATCAACACCTTCCGAGGCCTATTCTGACGGACGAGGAAGAACTTAAAGCGCAGACGACGCCGTATACACTGCGCGGGACCCTCGATGAGGATCGCCGTCGACGCCGCGCCGCCCTGAACGCCCGGAGGAATTCCACCCCGACGACAACTCCTAAAGATGCCAAATACGAAAAAGAGGAGGAGGAAGAGGATTATACGACTAGTGGACCTAGGGGGAATAAAACGGAGGAAGAGAAGAATTGGGAGGTTGAGGAAGTTTTGGATTGCTATTCGTCCCAATCTTTGCTATATTCCTCAACTGAGAGTGTCGGGGACGACACGGCGTTTAGCAAAGGGAAAGAGTCCCTGCCAGTGGCCTCGAACGGCGTTTCGACCTTTGCCTTGGCTCCTGTGGAGAACTCAACGGCGAATAATCAAACTTGCCTGAATGCGAAGGCGGAACAGGCGGAAGCGAAAGAGGATAAGATGAACTATGAAGAGGATCTTTCCTCCCGGATCGCGCTCGAGCGGATTCGCCCGATTCACTGGGAGCACCTTTCCACGATCGCCGCCCCCTTTTCCTGTCCGATTCTGCGCACCGTCTTCGCCCCGGGTCGCCGTGTTGTTGTCTTTTTTCGCCAAATCGACGGCGCCGTGGCGATTTTTCACGAACTTCGCTCGCGAGGCTACGCCGTTTCGCTTCTGCACGCCGCCCTGCCCCTGCGCGTTCGCCGGGCCTCCTTCGA